CTGTCCCTCGGAATCCACTTGCCAGGATGTGAGGCAGGGAGTACACAACAAGTGGCCACAGGGCTCGATGCGGATGTCTTTGTCGTTCTCCGCACAGATTTTGCACAGCTGAAAGGTGCTGCCTATAATGCCAAATAAATACTTCTTAGTAAACGAAAAAAAGAAAGTGGTTGTTATGCGACAATAGCATACCCATTTCACAGTAAAGTTCGTATTGCTCTTGGGTTACGGTTATGTGGTCCTCGGTGGGACTTTGAACGGCAGACGACAGATCCGGATTGTACGCTTGGCCATCTGGGTACAAGTAGAAGCCCTCTCTGAAAGGCAAACAAAATTATCAGTAACGAATACACTTTTATAAAACAATTACATCTGACATTAGGGGCCAGTTTCGTGGTCAACATATGATATTCTTTAATGATCTACAATATCTCACCGATGGCCATCGAGCAGCGCTTGGCACAGCGACTTGTTCTGAGGGATTGTCTGCAGAATCTCTCCCTCGGCAGTTACGTAGCCGATGGCCCATTGGCCCAATCGCGTGCAGGAGAGCCGGAAAACATAGCTGCCCGCCTTGAGGATGTAGCGCTGTAGGCGCGCCTTCACCTCGTCGTATGTGAGGAACGCCACGTAGCCCGGATGTGTGACGGCCAGAATCTGCCAGTTGCGCAGCAGTGTCACCCAAGGTTGAAAGAGGCGTGTGAAGACGTCGAATTCGAAGTTGGAAATGAAGTCGTTGCAGGTAAGATCGATAGTGGTCTTTAGGGCCATGGCCTCCAGGCCGGAGATTATGGGATGTACTTTGTTTAGCTCCTGTCGGAAGATCTTCCACGGAACCAATGTGCTGCAGGAGGGAGACGTGGTAAGAAACGTAAGTGGTTTTGTGGTATATTATTGCCTTGGGACAAATAAATTATTTGTATGAATCGGAATTCATACAATAATACCTTCAACTATACTGATAAAAAGTTTGGGAAGGGAGTTCACAATCGTAATGTATCATCGTAAAAGTACAAACAGTAAGGGAACACTTTTGGGGTATTCAAAATATACAATGTGTGGTCTTTGATAATTACACATTTGATATCCACTTTGTAGTATTATCCTTTTAAAATATGGGCATTAGCATGCGTACCCATGGTTGCGCTGAGACCGAACCAGTTGAAACTGGTTTGATTCAGACACGATATTGGATATTCAGAGTTTCAATTCAAGTAGAATTATCCATATCAAATCAAATCACAATGAATGAACTGTTTTTTGGTTGAATCCACACTATCAGCAACTAATTCATTTAGTTCTTATATTGTTATGGCTACCAATTAGACTTGGTATTGTAGTTGATATGATGTTCCACTGTCCAATAGGCACCACTCACCTGTTACCGAAATTACTCTTCCAAAAGTCGGCCGCATCCGCCTTGGTGATCCGGAATTGATCCCCGGCAAAGACACCGTTGGGGAATATGGCCTTCAGTTCGCTGAGCATGTGGGAGAAGACCAGGCTGAGCTTGGTGAGATTCCGGCGGTAGTGGGAGTTCTCATCGAACATCTTCTCCTTGCCCTCCTTGAACAGCTTAATGGCCTGCTTGCACTTTCGCATCAGGTTGTTGATGAACACATTGAAGTGCTCGTTGGCATGGAGCAGGTGCATCTGGTCCTCGTTCTTCGAGTAGATCAATCTCAAGCGCTGGTACGTATCCGGCAGGATGTCCAAAATAAACGGTGGACTATTCTTCAGATTCATCTTGGGCTGTTGGCACAGTTTAACCACCTTGTCCATCAGCTTCCACGTCTTCTCGAGCGTCTTCTTGTCGGTGGACAGACGCTGGGAGACGCAGGCTTCCGAGATGGCGCCGTGCAGCTTGGAAAGCAGCGATGGGAAAATCTTTGGCTGCGATTGCACACGGGTTCCACTGCCTCTCGTCGCCATCTTTTCTCTCTGCCGCTGCGCTGCCGACTGCGCTGCCTCTGCTTCCTCTTCTCAGCTCGTCTCCTTCTTGTTGTTGTTGCTGCTGCTGCTGCTATTCTCGTCGTTGTTGTTGTTGCTGCTGCTGGTGCCCGTGTGTAGTAGTAGTGGTGACTTCAGTGCGATTTTCCCCCACAAGCTAAGCAAACGCGATCTATCCGATTGGGTGCCCGATCCTCACGGCTTTATCCTTGCACCTGGCGTGTGCATTTGGGGCTACGCGTTTCGGCGACGTTTGCGTTTTTTAAACCCACACAATATTTTCGACTTTTTCAATGAAATCTCGGTATGACCGCGGCCGCAACGCCAGTAAATACCAACCGATTACGCACAGTTGGGCACACTAGTCAGAGGGCTGCATTTCGCTGTGACGTCACCATTGACCGTTGTAAAAAGACGTCACAAAATGGCGACCATTTGAAAAAAAACGTTACAAATTAAATTTATTTAAATAATCATTTTGGAAATCAGCTTTGGACTTATATATAACAAATTATTCGCTTTATATTAGAAGTCAGTATAGTAAAAACTTTTTTAGCCCACACCTTATCTCGATCTTAATAAATATCTTAAGTTTATCATCCAGTTCAATTGAGTCGAAAATGAGTCTTTCAAATTGTTTATTGCTCCATCGAAGTTCCAGTTTGTTTGATGATTTTGGGTTAAATATACATTGCCCATGTAAACCATGTAAATGCACGAAGACTGAAATGAATACTGGCAGATCCTCACATTTCCCAAATGAAATGTAGTGTAATGCATTATATTGTGTACAAGAGTTACAAATTCCTTTCCATTCCAACATATGGGTATTTTCCCGGCAGAGGCGCGAACTCTCCCCTTGCCATATAATTTCCGCCGTTTATCCAGCGATCCATTATTTATATAATACTCGCACTGGTTTGCTTGGCGAGCGGGAAAAGAAAAACGAAAAGAGCAGTGATTAGATGGAAAGAAAAGCCGCAGAACAGGTGCGTGGCTCTGGCCTTCTATCGTTTATTATGGCCATCTTTTCGCACACACGCCTGTTTCTATCTTTCCATTTTTTGCTGTTTTGTTTTAATATGCAGTGGCACTGCAGCCGCAATTTTCACTTTCCATTTTTATTGGCAACCGCAGGCGAGCGCCGTCAAATATTTGGCCAAAAAAGAAACTGCACGGCTGCCAAAAGGTTTTTACGTCTCCGCCAGCCTGGCTTTCTTTTAATTAAATTTTGCTCTTCTCTTTTCAGTTTCTTATTTTTGGCGCTGTTTTCCTATGGTTATTTCTTATTTTTTTTGGGGATCTGCAAGCCGTCGTGTTTGGGGTATTAGTTCTGGGCACTGGCGCTTAAAGCCGAGTCACGCCTGTCATATGCAGTTTGGCTTTTTCCCGTCCAGCTCGGCTCGGCTCAGCTCGGCTCGGCGTTTTGGACCTGGCTCTCACTGAGCTGCCCAAAAAGCTAACTGTAAACATTCACTTACTGACCTCTTTTCCCATTCGGCGGCCACTTCCAGCTCCAGCTCCACCTCCACCTCCACCACCACTCAATTTTCTTTAATGCACGCGACTCCGCCGCCAATGATCTGCTTCTTCAGCTTCCTCCACCCGCCGCCCCTGCACAGTGGTTCCAAATTTTGTGGATGGCGAGTAACTACCCACAACACATTTCCCCAAAATCATGATTTATTGCACAAAGAAGAGGGGGGTAAGTACTCATAGGAAAAGAAAAGCTGTACTGTGACTTGTTATTTAAATTGTTGGAAAGAATTTTGATTGTCTTTAGAGTAATGAATATTGTTATTGCTCTAACAAAAATAATATATACAATGGCCTGCACTAAAAATGTTTTCTAACCACATCAAAGATAAGCTATGTATATATACGACCCTTGTAAAGTTTCTGCTATGTTGTTACTTGGTTAAATTTCCCTTGCGAATAGTAAAAAGGCTAGAACTATTAAACCATCATATACATAGCATCCAAGACAATGTGATTAGGTCTAGACTCTGCTGGGTGAACGATGTGTAAAATTCATAAGGAAATCTGCAAATATTTGTTGTGTAAGTTGGGTATTAGGACACTGTGCGAGGTGATAGTAGGCTATGTGTGTGTGACCCTTATTCGCAACGGCCGCTGAGGCGTAAAATTTATGGCTTTAAAGTCTACAAGTCTATAAACACAGCTTCCAGGCTGCACTTTCTACTGCAACTGCAACTGCCACTGCCACTGCAACTGAATCGTGGACGCGGATCGTGAATATTGTATATTGAGTGTGGGGATGGGATGGATTGGGTTGGGACTGGGCATCGGAGATATCGGGGGCGCACGGAGGTGGATGTGGATGCATCTGATCCGATCGAATCGCATTGTGTCGAATCGTGTGTGTGCGTTATAATTTCAAATGCGGCGCGCCTTTTTGGCTGCATTTTGCTGCCACTTTTGGCAAATTAAATTTGTACGCAAAACCGATTAGGCCAGGCAGACATGACCAAGTTGTTATTTTAAATACCGACAACTCCATTTAATCAATGTGCCCCGGCACCCAACAATGCGCTTGGAAAACCAGTGGTAGTGGAAATATTGGGAAAAACTAAAAAAAGTATGGGTTTTTCTGGCTGTAATCTTTTTTTGGCCATTGGAAATTAATAGAAAATTGATATGTTCTTTTATTTACTAAAGAAAAACAAAAAATATTTTAAATCCATAGATTGAGGTCCTTAAAAGGGTTCCAAAATAAATGTTCTTAATTTGAATACTCTTGCTTCAGTCAAGTGATCATTTATCATTTTTTGAATCTAAGAAAATATATTCTTGGAAGTTGAGTTTTTCTAACCTATTTGTACATTTTGTCTTTTATATCATATTTTATTTTCTCATTATATTGTAAACTTTAAATACCTTTGCAAATACCTTTGATTTTGTATTCAACCGGTGAGTGAATTGGTTCGAGTGTAGCTGCAACAACAACATCGCTGTATGCTCTGCTCTGCCGGCGCCGACTGCGCTGCCTTTCACCCATATAAATTTCTTTTCATTGCAAATTTTTTGCCATTCGTCGGCGCATTGTCAAACCTTCCAGTCGCATTTGGAGCCCCAAGCTTTCCGAGATTTCAGAGCGACTCGTCACTAAACAAAGGTCCAAGAAGCGCGAGGGGAGAAGAAAGAGTTTAAAAGGCGAAAAAAGAAAAAGAAACATCGACGAAGACGAAGACGACAATACGAATTGTACAAATCGGATGCGAGCGCGAGTGTGTTAGTGTCCATTCATTCATTCGAGAACAATAAAAAAGAAATGAAATACAAAATGCAATTGCCGCAGTTGCAGTCGCAGTCGGCGTCGCAGTAGCCGTCAGCAGAGGCAGCGGCCGAGGCAGAACAGTAGCAGCAGCATCGAAATCCGAAAGAGAGATCATTTTTCATATGCGAATCGAAACTCGAAGAGCGCGCATCAAAGTCAAATTCAAACGGCGAAAGAGTAACGGACAACAGCGAATTGTTTAGTGCGCATAATAGGAACGAACACAAAAAAAAAAACATAACAAAAAAAAACCAAATAAAAGGAATATAAAGCCTTAGCAGAACGTAATTGAAATCAAATTAAAGGCGGGCCGTGCAAAAATCCACAAAACATCAAGAAAAGGCCATAAAGCCAGGGCGATAAAAAAGAAATTATGCTCCATTGTGCGATTGTGTGAAAAGGTCAAGTGCCCGGCAGGCAAAGGGAAAAGCGAAAGAGACAGAAGATTGAAGACAGAAGACAGCACAAGGCACTGGAGCTTAATGTTAATAGGCAAACGAATGAACTCGTAAAAGGGCGAACGGCTGAGTGAGAGAGAGAGGGCAACACATCGACACATCGCCTAACAAGAACAAGAAGAGCAGGAAGAAGAAGAGCCGGCCAGGCCCAAATGACCGCAAGATTACCGTTAATTCGAGCAGCTTGAGCGCCATTACGAGCACTTATATTATCATCTCCCTGGCCGACCAAGGAAGAGAAAAACTTTCCTCCAGCGTCAGCCGCAGACGCATAAAAGTTTGCTACTATTTCGATTTCAATTGTTAACGAGCGAAAGCGCCGCACGTCTCAACAACACGCACACGCAGCCGATCCGAGCAGCAAACAACAAATCATCGCGCAACTAATAGGAAAAGTGCAGCAGACAGCAGCGAAAATGCACCACAAACAGCATCAGCATCAGCATCCCCCCGCCCCAAAAGCCTCCCAAGCACAGGCCCACGGTCTTGGCCAGACTCCGAGCCAGATCGAGAGATGCAGCCATAACCACAGGCCCAGTCTGGGCCTCAGCTTTGGCGGCTCCAAGAGCCAGCGACAGCTGTTTGGCGCACTCTTGGCCATGTTCACGTTGGCGGCATTTGCGTCAACCGCCAGTGGTAAGTCATACACTGCGAGAAAGCGCAAAATGAGTGCGACAAGCTGAGTAGAAAGTAACTGAAAGTTCTCTTGGACCAGCCGACATTTAAACTACCTTTTTAACCTTCTCACAGGGATTCTCCCTATTCAAATTGTTTTTATCCCTAAAGAAACGAATCAGATTAAAAAAATCTTCTAAGTACACGTGTACTTAAAATTGAAATCAGATGACAAAACTACGTCCTCAGTCGTAATAATGTACAAGTTAAAGCAAGTTATAGCTCAGTTTAATAGTGTATTTAATATAGGTAAAGCTAGTTAATCATAAAAGAGAAAACCGACTATACAACTTAAAAATCATTGTTTAGGCGAAGATGGTTGCTTTGAAATCCAGACGAGCTATTTTCAAAAGGGTCTAATAAGAGTTTCAAAGGGTATTCTTGCTAACTTTCCTATTGCTAAATATACTTTCTCTACAACTATAGCAAGTTGCATTTGCAACGTTATCAGGTTGCAGTTGAAACTGCGGACGGAGTTCTAGGGAAACCCAAGTTCTTCAGTGCAAAACGGCAACTGATCTTGAGCTAAATGAAAGTTGTGGACAGACTAGTCAAGTCCCAGTGAGTGCCGTCTCAATTACCGCCTAATTTCTCCGGGTGCTGAAACGGAGAAGGTGAATCGGGGTCCGGATCTAAGACCTACAGCTGTGCGGTGGTAGAAAGGCCGTCGCAGCAGCTATTCATTTCTAAGGTACTACTCCGCACAAAGTGAATGTAAACTGGCACACACACGCGAGTAGAGCCTCCAGACCTCTGAGGTCCCCCCAAATGGCCCCGAATGCCACCAGACCTCGAACTCCCCAGTTTGTGGCACTCACTCCTCGACGCACAACATGCTCGTAAATATTTTCGTGCACAATTTGTCCAACATTCGAATAAATTCATTAAAAGCACGAAGGGGCGATACAGAAGCCGGGGGCCCTGAAAAGGGGGGATGCGCTGGCACATGGGGAAATCAAGCTGACCGCACAGTGGCAGCGAGCTTGAAATCGTGATGAACGGACGGGTCGACGGAGGCGGGTCAATTGAGGGGGGTTACATCGTTTAACGTTGACCCGGAGCGAAATGATTTGTTTTACTTGTAAGCGCGATCATTTGGCTAATTGATAACAGCTCTTCATCAGAGATTGATGGGTGAAAGATCAATTAGTTTTGGATGCTGTGATCTCGCGTGTATGTACACATGTACGAGTATATGCATATATTTTAATGGCCCCAATCAGTGGCGCCGTGATTCATCTATGGGCTTGGTCATGTCTCTGCTCGCCACTGTGCCACACCAAACCGGAGCAAACCGAGTACACTTGGTGTGCTCTATGTGCACATATATGTACATATGTACCCATATATACCCAGTATATATCATGCAAAAGTCCATGCCCAGCAGTGCAGTGCGTTGGTTGCTGGATTTTTCCACTTTTGAAAATTATACGGTGGATGCTTTTATTATTTCTCTCGCCTTTTTTTTGTGCTTTTTTTGCAATTGATGGCATCCGATAGGCAGGAGCCTGCAGCAATTCGCTGGAGGCCAGGAAACTGCACCTGCACTGAGCAAAACAAGCAGGAAATATATTCACAAGTTAAGCAGCTCGCAAGATAACGAAAATAATCCGATAAAATACACTATGTTTTCATTAGCGATTTGTACTTCATCTTGAAAAAGATTTACATTTCATTGCAATACTAGCGCCACACTTTTCTTCGAGTGCAGGATTGGTGAGAGTGGGTGGGGCGGTTGAGGTCGCATAGCTGCCATGCCGAGTGCGATTGGCTGTGGTCTCGGCTTTTGCCACTGACCATTCCAGCGGATCGTTTACATGTGCATTAATTCCTAACGCCGCTTAATTTTCTCCGAGCTTAATGGCTCCTCTTGCTGCCGATGCCTCCGATGCCTCCGATTCAGATTCAGATTCGGAATCGCATCCAGCCAGAGCAGCGTCCAAGTCCATTAAGCTGAGAATGCGTCTGCTTGGCTGGCTGACTGGCTGGCTGGCTGGCTGGATGTTGAAATTTCCATCTTTATGGCCGGCAGCAGCAAATTGGAATAATGAACGTGGGTTCAATTATCGCAGCCAAACAATCGTGGCAGCCCCAAAGAGCGCTAATAGATTTTCTACTGCTGGTGGGTATGTGCATTTACGTGTGTATATCTTTAACTTAGTTGAGTGCTTCCTCCGGAGGCGGCTCTCACAGCTTTCTTTGCAAACAATAAAAAAAAAACAATATACAAGAAAAAAAAAATGGGCAAACTAACCCAAACTAAACCAGCAGTTCCACATCCGATCCGACCAAAGACAACAGAAATGTTCGGCGCCGTAGGCAATTAGTGTGGAAATTTCACTTGCAGTTTTTAGCACAGATTAAGCTTACGATTTCTGGAGGGGATTAGCATGAACAATTATAGATGGAGGTCGTTGATAGTCTATATGAGCGTAGCGAGTGTATACTTGTGCTCAAATCCCATTCCCCCCATCCAAACATAAATGCCTTTGTGTCGTTTTACTTGGAATCGAGATTTGACGACGGGTAACATTTGCCGTTGCCGTTAGTAAAAGGGAACTCCCCCCGCTCCCGTTGCCGTTGCCCAAAAACAAGAATTATTCAAGTTAATGGCTGGTTACTTGAGTCGGTCATGCGATCACTCCAGAATCTGGACTCGGATGCGGGGGAGTCCGGGTGGCGGCATGGACACAGTGGGTCACAACTGCGTAAAATGCCCTATGATCGTGCGGCTAATCTGACATTTGTATGCCCAGAGTCGACTCTTCCGCATGCCGCTAAAGCGCTGGGGAAAATGCAAAGGGAAAGTTTCTTCTGGCGGCTCGAAACAGAGTTACCCTGGGAAAATTCGTTGGACAACAACTCATTACATGCGAAACAATAATAAGCACACGTCAATTTCCCTATAATTAAAGCTTAATTATTAGTGAGTTGTTGTGTATTGAAATATAGTTGATATAGAACTCTTCCTTTAACTCTGGTCTGCCTTTAACTGTTAATTTGTTAATTTGTTTAGAATTATGTTCCTAATTAATTAATCAGTTAATTAATAAAACACCCTATCCCCACAGGCGCTGTGACGGACTCCCCCATCAAGATTATCCGGCTGCCGGCGCAGGCGCCAGTTATCCGCTATCGCAGTGCAGATGCGGCGCCGGACTCCTTGCTGATCAACTACCGCCAGGATGCGCAGCCGGAGCTGTCCTCCACATTGATGCAGGCACCCGGTGCGGCGGCGGCTGCCTTGGAGTCGCTGCTGCGCGAGGAGATGGAGCAGCAGCAGTTGGCACAGATGGGCAGGCGGAATAGGGCCAGTGCCACCGGCACCGGCAACTGTCCACGATCCTGTCCACCGAGCATCACCGTGGGAGCAGAGCCCGTGTGCGGCAGCGATGGTCTGATCTACGCGAATATCTGCGAGCTGCGCAAGAAGACTTGCTCCCGCAGCGGAGTGTCGCTGATCAAGGACGTGCGAGATGGCTGCGAGAGGTCGAAGGGTTCGGACTGCAAGCACCGCTGCAGCACCGAAAAGGATCCGGTTTGTGGCACGGACGGAAGGACCTATTTGAATCGCTGCATGCTGAGGGTGCAATCGTGTCGCGTAGGATTGGCTGCCGTGAAGCTCTCGCATGTGGGTCCTTGCAGCAATACGAGTGCCGTTCGCGAGTCCTGCCCGGTGGACTGCAATAGTGCACCGAAGGATGGACCAGTTTGCTCATCGGATGGCAATGTGTACAACTCCACGTGCGAGATGAAACTGAAAACGTGTGGACAGGGTGTGGTGAAAACCAGTCGGAAGCACTGCCAGTCCACCCGAATGTGCAGGGAATCCTGCTGGCGTGTGGCGAGGCCCACATGCGGTTCAGATGGAAGACTGTATGCCAGTCCCTGTAAAATGCGCTCCTCTAATTGCGGCAAGCACGTCTTTGAGGTTCCCTTGTCCTACTGCATGTCGCAGGAGAGGCATGGTGCATCCGATGCCTGCCCCACGGAGTGTTCCAAATCGGAAACGGATTCCTCGTCGCAGTACGTGTGCGGCAGTGATGGTAACATTTACTCTTCGCTCTGTGAACTGAAAATGCTGAACTGCGGGTGAGTTTGGATGAGCTGGAAATGGAGTAGCCATGCTTAAGTTTGATCTTTCAGTCCACAGCGTAAGTCCATACAGAAAGTGAGCATGGACAAGTGCAAGAATCGACTGACTCGCTGCAAACAGCTGCCTCCTTGCAAGGATTTCAACAGCTTGTTCGGTTCCATCTTCAGCTCCAAGCGAAATGACAAGCTCTGCGGTACGGACGCCAAGACTTATAACAATGAGTGCGAACTGGCCCACGCCACCTGCCTGTAAGTGCTCCTTCTAGGATCATCCATCAGTCATGGATTTCATTTTTCCAACTCTTTTCAGACGCGGCGTGAATCTGGCCCACATTGGACCCTGCACGGATCTCAATTCGCCCACCAAGGATTGCGGGGATGCCTGCACCCGGGCGGATTTGGAACAGCAGCCAGTGTGCGGTTCGGATGGCAACACCTTCGCCTCCATGTGCGAGTTCAAGCGGCGCACTTGCGACCTCCGTGTGGTGCCCGTTTCGCTGAAGAATTGCGCTTTAACAGCCGACTGCGAATCGGATTGTGATGCCCAGCCGCCAAGTTTCGTCTGCGGATCGGATAATAACCTGTACAAGTCCGAGTGCCACATGCGCAAGGAGAACTGTGGCAAGCACGTTTTTGTGGTGCCACTGAAACGCTGCCTCGCCGCCTTCCAGCTTAAAGGATGTGCCCGCATCTGTCCCAGGGAATTCGAGCCTGTTTGCGGCAGCGACAATAAGACGTATCTGAACGACTGCTTCCTGGAGATCGAAAACTGCAGGGCGAACCAGACGGTGAACGTCAACTACTACGGCGCCTGTGGCCGCCCCGAAGCACCATCCACTAACTTCCTTTACTAGGACGTTTGCGTGGCGCCTTCATTTCACTTGGCATTTAATATTTGTAGGCTATAGTCTTGTATTGTACTTTTTTAAAACGATATTTATTGAGTTTGAATTAAAGCCCCCAACGAACTTACAAGGAATGCACTCAACGCCTGGCCTGCATTTTAGGTCTATGCCGAATCATCAAAGAGCTTGCTTAGCATAGCGTTGATCTCGTGCTGTCTATACTTGACGTATTTGTCTGGATTTTTGCTGAAGTGCACTCCAGAGTAGCTAAAAATGATTCAAGATGGTTAGGTATAAATTGAGAAACCCTATATATGCTTACATTTCGTAGAATCTATTGTATATGGGCAGTATGTGCTCCACATTATCACGTTTGATGCCTTCGCGCAGGATCACATCGGGTATGGAGATGCCCCGCTGGATTTTACATGCCTCCTCAAAGTCCTTGTTGAAGTTCTGCAAATGGTTGAGGGATGTTTTTTTAAGGTAAGGAAACTCAGCATAGTCCAAAAACCTACAGAAAATCTCTCCTTGAGCACACTGCGATCCTTGTCCTTGACCTTGCCGGCAACTGGTTTGGGCAGTTCATCCAAAGAATAGATGCCCACCAGCATCTTGGACCAAGTCTTTTGATAGCTAGCCTTCAGTTCGCGTATCATCTCCATGTAGCTGTGTTCGCACTCAGGCTCGGCCAGGGTAACCAAATCGATAAGATTGGAGCGTTGCAGCGACTTGAGGATGTAGTGAATGTTGTTGAGGCGGAAGAGATGCTTAGTGGCCTGGTCATTGTACTGCTCGCACTTATTCATGATAGAAAGATTCAGTTCCGCCAAAGCTTTCTCTGCAAAATGTAAATAATGGTTTCAAAATGTTCTGACAAATGATTTAGTTGCCACTCACTTATGTAAATCGCCAAGAGCGCCCTATTGCGTTCCTCGACCGGCAGCGCCTTTTTCATCAAAATTGTGTCCAGTTGAGTGGAGTACAGAACGTCCTGTGCCAAAATGGAACCAATGACATCGAAATGATCGTACAAGTGCTCAATAAACCAGATCGTATTGGAAGTCAGCTCGTGTACGGTGGCATCTTTTGGAACATTGCTTTGGCCCACAATGTTAGTGCTCGATTCACCCTTGACTACGTCCAGGAAATGCTCCAATGCCTTGGCTCCTGTATGCTGCAACTTTTTCAGTACTTTTTTCAGCTGTTCCCTTTGCGCTGGATCATATGTGCGGTCGATATCCGGCTGCAGCAGTATTACGCGCTTCAGCGCGGAAAATATACCCAACGCCGAGGTCCACTCTTTGCGGGAGATGCAGCGCAGGATGCGTTGGGTTATGGCCTCAGCGTCCTTGACCACCAGATCGATGGCATTGTAGGCCAAAGTGGCGAATACATCGTTGTGTTTTGACTGGGGAATAATGTCAATCATGATGGCTCGCTCCCAGTTAAGTAGCCGCTGCAATCCCAGCAGCATGACCAAATACTTGTCCAGCTCCTGATCTCCGTCCATCAAGTCCTCGGAGGTCAGGTGGTCGCTGTGGGATGATGCCTTCTTAATGGAGAACCCTGTGGACTGCTCAATCGTCTGCGTCGCCCGTAGATATAACTTGTTCGCCTTCTTTTCGAATCTATGCATATTAAATGAAATTAATCGCCTATTTAAACTTGGAAAATGTGTAATGATTCTTACATTTGCTGAAGACGAGCGGAGGTGGTCTTTTTTGGCTCCGTTTGGCGTCCACTATGTCGAGGTCTCTGCAAGAAAAATTTTACAGACGTTAATTTTTACTCCTCTTCCACTACTTTTAAATAATAATTCAAAATGGTGTTTCTTCGTAGTTATTAAGAAACTAAAATGTAAACAAATTAACAACTTTTTTTTACTTTTTAATATGCATTTGATTCTTACAGTTTAATTATTTTTTTATATAAATGAGTGTTTTACAAAGCGTTTATACCCCAATATTTTTGACAAAAGTATTATGTAGTTTGCTAGCTTATGAAATAACAGTACATTTGTTTAATGAGCTTTGGTGCAACATTTTATGAATTACATTAAATATTAAATTATATATTTTTTTTAAAGACTGAAGAAGACAAGCTTCAAGACACCAGGTCTTTTTTTACAATATCACTTAGTTATAATAAAATCACAAAATTTTTCTTCACATAAAACATTTTAAATTTTAAGGTACGATTCCTGTTGGATATGCCAGCGATACACTTAAAGGGTGCGGAGCACATCCATGATGCGGTTACAATCCTCATCGGTATTTAGGCCAATTTTGATAAGATCCGCACGCTCCAAAGACGCCAGTTCCACCAGATCGATGTGAGCCTCTTCGAAGTTGGTCACATAGTTCTCCAAGCCCATGTGCATAAGTATCTGTTCCACATTGGCGGCATGGTTAACAACATACGAGTGGTTCGATGCCTTGATGGAACGCCGACGCGACTCCAAGGCCAGTGAGTTCTCCATATTCGAGTCGTCCGAACAGGTGTCCGGGCTACTGGAGATCTTAATTTCTCGCTCTGGCTCGATGATCTCCTCCTGCGACTTGGGCAGTATAAAAGGCGGCGGCTTCAGCTGAGTGCCATGACTGGGTTGATGGTGATGGTGCTGATGATGGTGATGGTGATGCGCCTTCGATGGCAGTTTCTTGAAGGTGGCGAACCGCATGGGCGACACTGGACTCTTCTTTGTGCCCATATTCTCAATGGGCGAAAGATTGGGCGAACGGAAGTTGCCGAAAATCGGAGTAGAGCATCGCACGTTGGAGGTGTTCACCTTCAGGGTGTTCCATCTGCGCTCCTTTAACGTTGGCGTGCAATTCAAAGTAATTTTCGTCTTGTTCGTGGGCGTACGACAATTCTCCATTTTTAGATATTATGACACAGAAAATAATGCGTTCTTTGCGAATTCAAGCTGGCAAATGGCGGACATCGAAACTGACATGTAATGCCTCCGAACACGAGCTTTTTCGAACCAACACCGTTAAACCGAAACGATCAGAGATGGGAAAAGCATATACCCAGCATCGTACATATCGCTATTCTTAGTCCATTACGTACTATTTTACCCACTTAATTTACATACGTTAATATTAATTTGAGTGTAGAGGAACTGGGTACTCACCAGGGCCTCGTGGCCCCAACTGTTGCTCTTCTGGTGATCCTTGAGCAGCTGCAGCGACCGGAGGACCACTTCGCCCCGTTCCGTCGCGTAGATGTTGGTGTACTCCCTTAAATTTTGCTCCAGCCAGTGCGAGATGGTGTACAGCTCCTCGCGAGTCGTTTGCGAGAGCTGCCGGAATGAGGTATACTCATCGCTGGAATCGTCCTCTATGTAGATAAGATCCAACAGCTCCACGGGCTTCAGCGGCGCACTGTGCTTCTTAAGGAGCATGCTATAGTGCTGACTCAGGCCTTCGCATCCCGTGTTGAACAAACTGGTGACATTCTCCAGCTCCACGCTCTGCGAATTGTTGTGCCTGAAGTAATCGTTGGCATCTCGCAGTTTGGCCAGTGCGTCCAGGAACACGGAGATGTTACCCTCCACCGGACCCTGGTGAATCAACTGGCACACCTCCTGCGAGACATCGTAATGGGACAAGACACTTTCCAGGCAATTCAGAGTTGCTTCCAGATCTGAAAAAAGAGGCGGTGACACATTAGTTTGCCGGAATGCCATGGAGTATATTTTCCTACTCTGCTGCCGTTTCTGGAGCTGCTCCGTCTCCTGGTACACGGGTAATATGGTCTGTTCTAGGTTTCCCAGGCGCTTCTCGAAGATTGTTAGAATACTGGACATTTGCGTGGACAGATCATGATATTTATCCACCCGATCTTTCAGCAGAGCTAAATTGTTTGCTTCCTACGGATAAAATAGGTAAGTGTAGAGGTTTTGGCGATGACAACCAGGCGTACCTTCTCCAATTTATTGTGCGCTTGCAATGAACTGTCCAAATTGTTCATTTTCAAGCGTATATAATGCCAAAACCCTATAAAAACAAGCAATGGTTCTGAAATACACAACAATTCTTTTTTTATTTTGATAGCACGAATTTAGGTATTTTATGCACAATCGCTTTGGTCATACTACCGATTACCGCGTTGCCAACGTCTTTATAGCTAATAAAATTATAACGGTCATTTCAGAAAGCAATATATACAGGTCTTAAAATATTGTGCACTTGAGCAATAGTTAAATGATAATTAGGCTATGTTTTTATTTACTGTTTTTCAAAGATTTATATTAACGTGCCAAATCTGCTTTAAAAAGCCAAAACTGTCGGAAAACCCCGCCAAACTGCCATCTCTAGCCAAGACGCCAACTTTTGTTGTGGTTGGTTGCCATGGAATCCGTGTGTAAACAACGCACCTGCATTTAGGAATTTTTATCAACTATGCAGGATTAGCCAACTCGATTTGTGCAACAATGAGGGGAGTTCTCAAATGGCTGGAACGCATCGAGTTTCCCAATAGCAAGGACAACGAGATCAGGTATAGCTTTCGCATTCCTGGAAAACCACAACCTGTTGCTGCGCAACGCTATAACGGTAATCGGAAAACCTCATTTCCAGTGTCCACAATGTGTGCTACGCCCCCGATGGCAGCCAACTGGTGGTGGCTGCTGGGGATCGGCTGCTCATCTATGACCCAAACGATGGCTCCTTGCTGAACACTTTGAAGGCGCACAAGGACACGGTCAATTGCGTGGCCTACTCGCGGGATGGCAAGCGGTTCGCCAGCGGAGCCTCCGACAAAATGGTCATCGTATGGTCACCGCAGCTCGAGGGACTGCTCAAGTATTCGTGAGTTCACACCATACTTTCAATAAATTCTAGTTTTATGAAGTGATAAAATGTAATTACACCCACAGGCACGGTGACTCCATTCAGTGCATGAGCTTTAATCCTGTTTCGCACCACCTGGCCTCGTGTTCATTGTCGGATTTTGCCTTTTGGTCGGCTGATCAGAAGGCGGTGCAAAAGTACAAGATATCCGCCCGGGTCAATGGATGCTCGTGGACAAATGATGGACAGTACCTGATCCTGGGCCTGGCCAATGGCACCATATCAATTAGGAACAAGTTGGGCGAGGAGAAGGGCAGGATCGATCGGCCTGGTGGCCCCAATAGCAATGTTTTTAGTGTCCAATGCTGTCCGGCCAGTGGTCCTGGCAGTGTAGACACCATTGGTGTGGTGGACTGGAGCCAAACGCTATCCTTTCACACTTTGAGCGGCCAGATGATAGGCAAGGAGCGAACCCTGGGCTTTGATCCCCTGTGCCTGCAGTACTTTCCCAATGGGGAGTTCTGCCTCGTGGGCGGCTGCACCGGAGGTCTTCACTTCTTCACCAGGGAAGGCATTCGTTTGGGTACGCTGGGCGATACCTTTGACACCTGGATCTGGACAGTCGCCCTACATCCGAATGGCCAATCCTACACCATTGGCTGTCAAGATGGAACTCTGGCCTGCTTCAACATTGCGTCTAGTACCGTACACGCCCTCTACCGCGAGCGCTATGCCTTCCGGGAAAACATGTGCGATGTGATCATTCAACACCTGATCTCTGGCCAAAAGGTGCGCATCAAGTGTCGAGATTTGGTTCAGAAAATAGCCATTTATCGGAATCGACTGGCCGTTCAGCTGCCGGAACGTGTTGTTCTCTATGAGCTGAGCTCTGGAGAGGATCAACCAATGCACTATAAGGTGCGCGAAAAGATCCAACAAAAGTTCGACTGCAGCTTGCTGGTGGTTTGTGGCTGTCACATTGTCCTCTGCCAAGAGAAACGCCTCCAATGTCTGGATTTCATGGGTGTCCTGCAGCGAGAGTGGATCATGGACTCGTTCATACGATACATCAAAGTCACCGGTGGCCCTGTGGGAAGAGAAGGACTAATGGTGGGCTTAAAGAACGGCCAAGTATTCCGAATCTTTCTCAACAACTCGCTACCCCTGCTCATCACCACTGCCGTGTCTGCGGTTCGCTGCTTGGACATCAATTCAAAGCGCAGCAAGATTGCCGTTGTGGACGATGTGGGTCGCCTGGTGGTGCGGGACATAATCAACGATACAATTCTATACCAGGATACGGGTGTAAACAGCGTCACTTGGAACACGCATCTGGATTCGATGCTCTGCTATACCCACACAACAGGCGGATTAAGCGTTCGTGTGGGAAATCTACCGCCGAGGGCACCACAGAACATGCATGGCGTGGTGGTGGGACTTTGCGGAGCCACTGCCTTCTGCCTGCGCGGCAACATCATGCACAATACGCCTTTGGCCCTTGGTTCCACGATGTGGCAGTTCATCGAAGCTGGATTGTTTGAGTAAGACACATGGCAATTCTGCATGGTACCTCCTAATAAAGATGTCATATGTTATTTTAGCGAAGCCTACCAGGTCGCCTGTCTGGGTGTTACCACCAGCGACTGGGAGGGATTAGCTCAATCAGCTCTGGAGGCACTGCACATAAATATCGCCCGCGATGCCTACGTCAAAGTCAGGAACCTACCGTGGCTCAAGCTCATCGGTGAACTACGAGATCAGCAACAGCGATCGGCGGTTCCTAAAGAGGTGCTTCTCGCAGAGAACTGCGCCTTTGCCGGAAAGTTTAAGGAGGCAGCTCGTCTATTCCTCAAGTGCGGCCAGTCGTCGAGAGCACTTGAAATGTACACAGATCTACGCATGTTCGATTTAGCCCAGGAATATATCAAGGACGGCACTGAGCAGGAGAAAAAAGAACTTGTACGCAAGCGAGCGGAATGGGCATACTCGGTGAAGGAGCCACGAGCTGCAGCCGAACTTTTGCTCTCAGCTGGCGAAAATCAGAAGGCCATTGACATTGTTGCAGAGCAAGGATGGGCCGATGTGTAATTAAATCAAGACAACACTTATCGTCTATACTTAACTTGGTTTTTTTCAGGCTGTACGATATCGGGCGACGACTAAGTCTTACGGAGCGCGATGCCCTTGAGTCGGTGGCCCAGAATCTAAAGACCCTCAAAGCTCTTCCCCTGGCTGCTGAGATTTTCAAGAAGCTGGGCGACGAAGCCCAAGTCGTGCAACTGCACATCGAAGTACGCGACTGGCCAGAGGCATTTCGTTTGGCGGAATCGTTGCCGGAACTGCTGCCCACAGTGCACTACCAGCATGGGCAATGGCTGGCCGAAACGGATCAGTTCATAGAGGCGCATCAGGGTGAGTTTATCACTTTTGTTACGTTTTTTTGTTCATTAAAAAGTTGCATTTTTTTAGCTTACATAAAGGCAGGACGCACCAAGGAAGCCAATCGTTTGCTTAAGCAACTAAGCAATACGGCCATCGTGGAGGAGCGCTATTTGGATGCGAGCTATTTTTACTGGCTGTTGGCTAAGCAACATTTAGATGTATATCACGCCAAGGAGTATGTATACTATTTACCTGGGCGCACTCCCTTAAATTATATAAATTGTATTTTTTAGAGAACAAAATCCAGTTGATCACCACCTTATGGAGTACAAAAATCATTTACGTGTTGCCAAGGTGTATTACGCCTACAGCGTCATATATTCTTATATGAAAGAACCTTTCACCACACATTCCCCAGTTAGCCTATTTAACGTAAGCCGCTTTATACTAAACGAAGTGGAGCACAAAGGTGTCCCCAAAGGTGTAAGCATGTTGTAAGTTAAGAGCCTAAATCGCAAAAGTAGAACGTAAATCAATTTGAATTCTTGTCTTCCAGTTCGGTTCTTTTTACGCTGGCCAAGCAAGCTAAGTTTTTGCAGGCCAACAAGTTGTGCCTTCTTATCAACAAGAGACTGCAGTCTTTGAAGCCACCAGCTGGAGTCCAAGAGCAGATTGATGTGAGTAGTTTATAATCCCTTGAATGACACACTTAAGAACTGCCTTTTTAGCTCAATTTCCTAAACAGCAAGGCCTGCAAAAGTGGCTTTAACGACCCGGAGGAGCTTCTGCCACTTTGTTACAAGTGCTCCAACTACAGTCAACATTTGAATAGCAATTGTTGTCCCACTTGCCGCCAAGATTATATATTCTCCTTCGTTTCCTTCGGTATGGTGCTTTGTCTTTTAGCTTAGATATCTGTTAATATCATATCTCTTTTTAGAAATTCTACCTCTAGTACAATTTTATCCAGAAGTGGATATATCTGATGCCGAGGCGGAGCGCTTGCTGCTGGCTCCTGCAAAGCACGCGGAGGATTCGGATCCCTTCAACGAGGATGTGGCCAGTGCATTGCCTTTGAGCTTGGATCGCAATGGCCTGCGTGCCATAGATCCCAATCATGTGCTGATTCTTAAACGCAGGGGCAAGAACGTGCGAAATGTGTACTATCGTAATATATTACCCGATCTGCAGGTTACCTATTGTCCTCAATGCTTGCTGGTAAGTTTAATAAAACACCATCATTTAATTTTGGATTATTAGTGAACTTTTTCAGCTGTTCTATGCTGAAGACTTTGAGCTGCAAGTCCTTCAGAAAGGATACTGTCCCTTCTGTCACACATCCTCCGAAAAGCTGTTGGAAGACTTTTGAAATTGACATAAGTAATGAGTGCAAAGATATAATTTCCGTCCAAAACTGTACAAATAGGAACTATACGCAAATAAATACGGTGTTACGCCCAGGTTTCCTCCTGATATCGTCGCTGCTTTATCATTAGATCCACGTAATCCACATCGCCATCCAGTATCTCGATGAAGGCTTCTTTGACAGACTTTGGCATATTATTGGAGTTGCCAGCCACGTAAATGTAGGCATTAAGGTATTTTATAAGCTTTGCCAGATGAGCACCATTCTTTTTGATTAAGTGCTGGACATAGACCTTATGATCCTGATCCCTTGAGAAGGCAAAATGGGCCTCTACCTGTTTCGCATCGGTCCAGGTGGAGAAGTCATTGCCAAAGTGGAAATCTGCCGCCTTGTTTCGACAGCCAAAGAAAACAACCAGGGGACCAATAGTGGAACCTTTTGATTGAGCATACAGTCGGCTTTGGATAATACTACGGAATGGAGCGATGCCTGTGCCAGGTCCTACCATTATAAGTGGTATACTTAAGTCCTTTGGCCAGGCCATGGTTCCACTTTTAACTGCCCCGCTCAACTCCGTACCTGATTTTAAAGTTCTCAGCCAGTTGGAGCATAAGCCTATACGTGGAGTATGCATTATTGTCTTGTACTCCACAACGGCCACCAGTAAATCCAAGCTTAAGGCGGAAACATCCGAGGCAATGGAAAAGCTGCGTGGCTGGATCAGTGGCATCATCTCAAAGAGCTGCTGTAGAGTTAAGCTAGAGGTGGCATGCCGGAAATCCTCAAGTACCTCCAAAAGATTACGACGCGGCCTGTTCACATAAGCCACCAAGTCATCGATTCCCTCCGCGGAGCAGAACTCTAGCAGCTTCTCCTTTTCCATTTCATCGCTGCAGTTCTGTGCTAGCACCTCGAGAAAACGTTGCCGTGGCTTAGCACTCAAGTCCCAAACGAATTTGGCGGCCTGGTGGAGACTCAAGGGATTGGAATAGGCTATGGGTAGGGGCATATCCTGATGGGCGCTGGAAACCTCCACTACAGTGCTTTCGTCGAAGTGCAGGCTGTGTTCATGGACGAGATCGAAGAATGCTTTGACAGCTTCATCGCTGTTTTGCGGCTGAACATCGAGTACATCGCCGGGTTCCCAGCTCAGATCTTCAGTTGGAGACTGCAGCCTTAGGAAGCGTACATCCTGAAAGTGATCCATTGCCGTTGTTCTTTGGTTATCCAGAATTTTGAAAGAGTGCGCAGTATGCTTTTGGCTCCAAAGCAGATTGTCCAAGGCAGCAATGCAGGAATCCCTAGGCAACTCCTTTACTGACCACTTTACAATAGTTTGGGTGCTGTTGCTAAGTTTACTTTCATCAAGACCAGAGATGCCCTTTAGAGCAGTCCACAACTCCTTCGTCCAGGTGAGTGATGCACCCAAGTGTCCGTAATCATGCTGATCATCACATAGGCCCACTGGACACACGGAACTGGCTCCCAGATTCAGCAGCCTCTTGCTCAGTTTCTTGGCGGCATAGTTAAACTTCGGATAGCTGGAGTCACCGAGTCCAAGGCAGGCGAACTGCATTCCTTGCAAGGATTGGGCGGGTAAGCTGCGCTTCAGGAGGAATCGCCAGGCCAGCTTCATGTTGTCCGGCTCCACTCCGTCGCCAGTAGTGGCCACCACAAAGACCACGAGGCGCTCCTCGATAAGTTTGGACATATCGTACTCGTCGAATGGCAGCACGGGTCCTTGGAAGCCCAGTTGATGTGACTCCCGCCAGATCTGCTCCGCCACATCCTGGGCGGTGCCGGTTTGACTGCCATAGAGCACTAGTAGTCGCATTTTCTAGAATTTGGAATTTTTAAATAAATTCTATTGATTACCGGACATATGATCTGATTTCATATGTTACAATTTGCGCCTAACAGCCCGATGCTTAACTTAACAGCACTCGTTAGCCCACGCATATTAGTACCAAATTATGCCGCCAGATGCTGCACTTGTGGAATGCTATAGAAACGCAATAAAAAACATTGCATTGTTTTGCATAAATAAAAGTAAGTTTTATCGCAAGTAATGGCCTCTAAACAGCGAACCGACACGCAATTGAGCAAAACGCTATCCTGGTTGTTGCGGCACGGCGCGAAAACGGAGGGTGTCACCATCCGTGCGGATGGATTCGTTAGTGTCCCCGATTTGCAGAAGCACCCACGCTACAAGTCCTTTACCTTGGAAAAACTGAAGGAGATTGCAGCCGTGGATGCCAAGCAACGATATACACTTCGCTGGAATGCAGAACTTCAAGTCCACGAGATTCGCGCCAATCAGGGACACTCAATGGCGGTAGTGGAAGGCGAAGCAGGCGGTCTGGAGAGGATTACCCATGTGGGACAGATACCCCTAGCAGTTCATGGCACCTACTACAGATATTGGGAGGCCATTAGCAATCAAGGATTAAGTAGAATGAACCGCAACCATGTGCACTTTGCTTGCAGCGATGAGACCAATGGCACTCTGAGTGGATTCCGCAGCGATTGCCAGATTTTGATATACCTAAACGTGGAAAAGGTGCTGGCGGCAGGTATACCCATCTATCGATCCAGCAATAATGTGTTACTCTGTCCGGGAATCAGAGGCATCATACATAGCTCCTACTTTCAGCGTGTGGTGGACAGGAAAACAAGGCAACCCCTTACATATTGATCATTGTTATTGAATAGAATAAACCTTGACATTAAGCAATAACTAAAACGTGTTCTTGCAGAAATGCCGGCCCCTGCCTCGGAAGTAACTTCTCCGCCTGGCGATGGCGACGATAATCTGGTGCTTTGCATGGTATGCGCTGCTCCCTTCCAGAGTATGCAGGATTGCCTCGCCCACGAGCTGCTGAAGCATGCTAGCAAGCCCCAAAAGCAATTGCGACAACGATTGAACGCCATCACCAAGATATTCACCAGCGCACAAACCCAATCCGAGCGCACTGAGCTGCAGGAGGCTCTAGAAAATTCCGAGTCTGGCGGGCACTTGCGCACTGTAATAAATTTCTTCGCTTGTGATCTTCAAAAGATGGAAACCTGCTTCGGGCATGTTCGCAACTGCATAGAGAAGGAGATGAGGGGCAGGGTTAGGGTGTTCCCCTTCGGTTCAATGGTTACTGGTTTAGCATTGAAGGGTAAGTGGTCAACAGTAAACGCAAGAAGGCACATAATCCGAATCCATTCCCGCAGAGAGCGACATCGATTTGTATCTGCAGTCGTACGGCGACCAGCCACCATTGTCCTATAAGCAGCTATACAACAAGGTCTCACACTTCTTACGAAGATCGAAATGCTTTGTGGATGTCTTTACCATTCGTCATGCCGCCGTGCCCATCATTAGATGTAAGCATGAGCTCACCGGACTGAACATAGACATAAATATGTCTAATCCGAATAGCACATATAACTCCGGATTTGTGCGCGAACTAATGTTTCGCGATGAGCGGCTTCGCGAGCTGGGTCTGTTTTTGAAAATCTGGGCCCGGAAACTAAAATTGATTGGCCATGGCAGCATGACAAGCTATTGTTTAATTTCCATGATCATCGTTAACTTGCAAGTGAATCGACTGTTGCCCTCCGTCAAGCAGCTCCAGTCGCTCTGTCCCCCGGTTATTTGGTCGGGCGTTAACTATGCCTACAGTTTGGACCTAATGCCACCGATTCCAGAACGGATAACCACGCTGGATCTAATCAAAAATTTTTTCGTATACTACTGCACTGTGAACTTTGAGAAAAGTGTATTGAGTCCGTTTTTGGGCGACTGTGTGGACAAGGAGACAACGCTGGGCACACCGGGAGGATTTCCCGAGTACGACGAGCAACTGAAGCTAATGCATGATGAGACAGGTGCGCCGCCAGAAGCTTTCAAGCTGGATCGGGCCATGTGCGTACAGGATCCCTTCGAGTTGCAGCGCAACGTGGCCAAAACTGTGTCCATTTCAAATTTATGTTTCCTCAGACAATGCCTAGTTCTGGCAGCTCAAGCCTGTGGCGATCAGCAACTAAGTTCGCAGCCAGAGAAGCTATACGACTACCTATTATTTGGTCTGGCGGATAGGTTAGTGGCCGACAAAATAGTGGCGGATAAAAGAACAGGGAGTGCTACACCGCGAAAGCAGCAAAAAATAGAAAACGTCCGTGTGCAACCGCCGATCGTCGGTGAGGCACAAGAAACAAAAGTCGAGGCAGGCGGTGTGTATAATGCACCGCCCATAGTGCGATCGCATGTCATCACGCCCACCACAAATGATCTCAAATGCCTGCGCTCCGTTGTGCTGAGCAGCAACACGGAGGAGGCTCGGCCCATATACTACTACTGGTTGGTCTGCTATGTGGATACCATTAAGGATGTGCTAACGCAACTCTATGCTTTGAATGTCGAACTGAGAGAATCGCAGGAGCCGCTTTACTACAAGTGGCTTATCAGCATCTCTTACGACACTTGGACAGGACGCTCTTTCCAACGTGGCGCCGGTCAATCTTTCTTCGCCCACCAGTTGCAGCAGACGATCGAGTTTACAAAGACCAGAATGGGTAATCCGCAATACGCAGTCAATTTGCGCGGCTATTTCTCGCTGCAGGCCAGCGAGGATTACAAGGAGCTGCGCCTGGATGTGCAGCCCCTTCAAGGAGATCTTCTCGGACTGCAGCGCAATAGTCCGCTAACAAAGCTTTTCAAGGCGTTCAAGAATCTGCTGGGCAACTATAGTTTTAAAGAGAAGGCCAGTACCTGGAAGTTTTGCGCCAGATCTGACCAAATCTGACAACATTACCATGTCTAATATCGTTTACGTACATACTTTTTAATCAATTCAATGCCAAATTGAAAGGACACCTTAATTACTTCATCTTTACATACATCATTATATTTGAATTTACAATATCACTATAGGTTAAACAAATACATCAAATTATAAGTGTAACTATTAGTAATCTAAGGACTCATCATATGTAAACTAGTTCTTGGCAAAAGTCTCTTGGAGCAGGGAGGAATTATTTACAGAGGTAACAACAAAGCTTATCTAAGTAATATACAAGGATGTCTCTTGAACTCCACGAGAAGAATAAAGAAGCTATAATTATGCGAACAGTGTTCACAAATAAAACCTTCAAAGCGTAAGGAGTTCAGTTTTGAGTATACGTTTTTGTGGCCTTAAAAATCCATTGCCATCAGACACCAGATACTTTTAGGCAGAGAGAGAGAGAGGAAGAATTTCTATTAAATAGTATTAAGTTAATTGTACTTTTAGATCCTAATCTGAGTAACGGCACTTGGGCACTAGCCTTAGGTATAATCCTACCATGTCTACCCCTTCTTCTTTCGGCAATAACAATATTTTTTGGCAGCAAAATCGTTCATGCAATCCGCCTCCCCGCTATAGACGTTCAATCGGCTCACGGAACCGGTCACCTTTACGGAGTCATCCGTGTGGTTGTGTCGCACGGTGGCCTCGTACTGGCCCTTATTGGGCGACGTGACGAAGATCAGTCGATAGGTGTGCACCTCCTCCGGATCGAGGGCATTTTGATGCGCCCGGAACGCGGATTTGATGCTGTGCAGGGAGAGCGGAGCACACAGCTTGGCAAAGGTGCCGTTTCGGAACTCGGCCACATAGTTGTTGAGGTAGCTGACCACCCGGTTGCCAAGCATCCGCGATTCCTTCGAGTTGCTCGAGATAGTGTCGTACTCCCAGCAGGTGCACCAGTGATCCGCGATGCCCACGTCGGAGCAACTCCTCAGCGGCGAAACGGGGGTCAGTAAACTCTGGCACTGCGGACAATCGGGTGCCGGACCCAGCGACTCCATTTCAGCGCGCCCAGATATGGACAGTATGTGCTTCATGGTCAGGTGAAGATCATAGGGCGTGGTCAGGCGATTCCTGTTCAGCTGTAGGCTGCGCACAAACTCCGGATGTGAGCTGCGCAGGTGATGGGGTAACCAAATGAAGATGGCCGGCAGACGTTCCTCCAAGTGACCCGACCAGGTGGCCCTCGTCGGTCCAAACCGCATGCCATGATCGCTGAAGAACACCACCACCGTGTTCTCCATGGTGCCCTGGCGCACCAGCTTCCGGAGATACTCCTCCATATAGCTGTCCATACTGCTGGTCTGCGATATGTCACTGTGGCTGTGCGTGTTTGTCCAGAAAAATCCGAAGTACGTCTCGTTGATGAACCTCCTGGTGAACTCCAGTCCGTAGTCGTACACGTGCTCCGCCGCCGTCAGGTAACCGAGGCAGTGCACCAGACCATTGACCGTCGTGTGATCCAGCTGCGTTTCGGCGGCGGATAGATATGGCCTCAAGTAGTAGTCCGCCGGCGGATTCTTGAAGCCCTTCTTCAGGTAGTTGAACGTGTTGATCTTCACGGCATCCTCCGCGTAGGCGGTCACGTAGCCCCGCTGCTGGTACTGCTTCCAGATGTAGTCGCACTTGTCCAGGCCACCGACCACGAATGGCGAGCATGCGTGCATGGCATTGGGCAGATTGTAGCCGGTGACCACGGCCATGATGTTTGGAAATGTATTGTCGTCCACCTGGGAGCGGGGGACAGGAAATGGACATGAAACTTGGAACTTGGAACCGTATTTCGCATCACTCTCACCTTATTATAACCCGCCAGCTCGAACCATCCATTGTCGTAGAGGTACTGGGCCGTTTTGGGCATGGCCCTGATAAGATTGACACGAGAGATGCTATCGATGCCGAGCATCAAGACGCTCGGAGGTCTCGGATAGCCCTTGGCGTCCGCCTCAGATGCCACTTGTAATCGTTGCTGCACTGCCTCCTTGACGGGAACGGTCGCATGACCGTTGATATAGATCTGGTGGCCACCCGAATCGCACTTGACGATGATGCCCTCGGCGGAATCGGGCAGCGGGGTGCTCCCCTTGAAGGTTTGACACTTGGTGTACTTGACCTTCATCTCGTCCACCCGCTGCACCGCCATGTAGCAGCAGTGGAGCTGCTTGCCCGCCGGGTAGCGACTCAGAGCAGCTGCGTCGATGCTGAGCAGGTACTTTTGGGACCTAGCCTCGAATTTGACGTGCGTCAGGGGCGGCAACTTCTGGCAGGACTTGTATTTGATCCTCTTAAAGTGGCGCATCACCTCGCTCTTGTAGGGATCCACCTCCATGATGCGGCAGGAGTTGCTGTACACCAGGAAGCCTTTCGGGACAGATGGAATGGGCTCAGTAATGGTCACACGTTCAACTGGGCGTGGGCAAGCACAAACACAAGAAACAAAAACGAAAATGGTTGCGGAAATCATAATTACTAACATGCAAACAATAGTCAGGCAAAAACAATAAAATAGGTGCATAAATAGTTAGTCGTTCGATTGGTGGACTCACCATCCATGACCGTCGACTGATGCTGCACCGCGACGTAGTTGTCCGAGCGCAGGACGTCCAGATCGAGGACATTCACCCAACCGGTTCTGCCGATCAGAAAGTAGCAGAACGTAAAGGACACCAGCAGTCCAACTACCGACTTCCTGCTCACCGGAAGTGAGCGCTGCTGGATGGCATGGAGCACTCCTGCTGCCCGTCGGGTCACATGCACTTCCGGCTCCTCCGTCTCTGCGGTGGCGGATGGATCCAGCAATAGGCGTTTCTCTGCCATGTCATTTAGGCTCTCGACTGTTCAAAATCATAAAGGAAATCACTTAGTTCGAATCGATCCGACTGACATGTATGGAAACTAAAAATTTAATTCAAACTAATTAAAATTGCCCTCTTTGGCTGTAAGAGCGAGTTGAATTTTATTTAAATTACTTTGTTTAGGCTCTTAGCTGCTCTATTTTAATATTGGCACATTTTTGCTGTAAGGAAACTTTATTTACGTTTATATTTGGGCTGAAAATCATTAAAGCTAACAGCTGTTCGTTAAAGCTTTGGCTACACTTCCAGAAAGTCACGCTAATTACAATTGCAAATACACGAGTTGAAACCGAAGCAAGCCATCGAGCGTCGCGACTACAAGATACCCATTACGCTGATAGTGAAGCGCAGCAAAGCGAGTGCTGCCTGAAATCATTATACCCCCTTCTAGGGTATACAGATCAAACATTTTATAAATGCGGGCGTTTGCCTTCTTTCTACCTGTTACATACTTTTCAACAAGCCTAGTATACCCTGCACTCCACTAGTAAAGCAAGCACCAAATTCACTGTTTGTATTTTGTTAGTCTCAAGTGCCTAATTACTTTAGTTTAGAGTTCGCATGAGTTGTATTATTTAAATATTATTTTGTATTTTGTTAGTCTCTAGGGCTCAATTACTTTAGTTTAGAACTCGCATGAGTAGTATTATTTAAATAATATGTTTTAATTGACTTACCTTTGTTATGCTTATTGCAGTGATTTTCGATTCATTGGCGTATTATTGTCGATTTCGCAACTGAAATTGAAGTGCAATGCATTAATAGCTGGCGAATGCACAACTTGTGTTTAGCTGTTAGCTGGAAAACTCATTTCCACTTATTACAAAGGTCAGTTAGCAGTGTCAGAAAAATTTTCTGTGTAGTGAGTGAATAAATTATGTGTTTTGCAATGCTTGCAAAAAATGTATTTGATAATGCTGATGACTTTATAATTGGCAAAGTCCGGAACTTTGCATTTCAAAGCTGCTTCACTTTTGATTTATTTTTTAATTACGCTCAAGACTACATCATCCTATGATTATTCGTCTTTCAATAGCTTTGCGGCGTACAATATATAATATATTATGTATACGAGTACAGTTTGAGTTCGTTAGGGATTTAGTTTATTTATAGATATTATGTTAGGTACTCATTCGTGTATTGAAGGTTTATAGGTTTATATAAGCATTGCTTTTCACCGACTTGCACTTGTTTACATTTTTGTTTATCGTTTGTAGTACGCATGTAGTACACCGGGGCAACAATCGTTTGCGTATCGCACCCGAACACAATTTCCCATTCAAATCTTCTGAGCATTGAAAGCACTCTGATTTTCTTAGATGTTTGTTCTGTCCTAGCCAACGGGCACATAAATAACACGTGCTTTGCCCACCTTGGATGGGCGCATTTTGGGGCTCCCAAAAGGGGCGGTGCCGAATTCAATTAATGGAAATGCAACGTCTGCTAAGTGTACACCGCGTACATCGTTCTGCCAATGCTATCTTTTCGGCAGCGGTCCGAGCACTATGACGACTGAATCGCGAATGCGAGTAGCCCCAGCCAGAAATAAGTTTGCTGTGGCTATATGGAATGGCATGGTGCGGCATGGCATGGTATGGTATGGGGGTCTTGGGGGTCTTGGGGGTCTGGGATTCCGAAATGGGAAATAGAGCTGATGCGGCCTCATGATGGATCTGCGATTCGCCTGCGCCTTTGCCGGCATTATTTCATCGATCACGACTCGCCTCGACTCTGATCATTAGATTTCACTTTTCTGCCGCTTCTCATGTAGCAAACATTGATCAGACGTTGTGTGGTGTTAATCCATGACACGTTTTTATGGCTGTCTAAATATAATTATGTGATATTCATGCCCAGCACCGGTAGACAACTACCGGGTGTAGTTCGGCACTAAGCGAATCGTGCGATTGCCTTTTATTTATAATTTAAAAACACCTGAGTTCAAGCTCAACAGCTTAATAGACAGATCCTGATCGAGAATAAATATAAATTTACTTTTCAACAGATCTAACTTTAAAAGTGGAGGGCAAAAATTATGTGAAATGAATATAATTTTTGAATGTGAATAAAGGAATAGGAATACTAAGCACTGAGATAAGGGTACAGCGCATATGAAGCAAGTTCCAAATAGTGTGTGTTTTGAGATATATGCGGGCTGCAACTATTTCAACCCAAGATAATTGCTAAAGCAATTGTTTTATACATATTATGACAGGAAGAGCGATAAGAAATCAGTTCAAAAAAATCAACATATTTGTATGTGGACCGCATTTTGTTTGTATATAGCTAGCTATCATACTTCGATTATTCCACATTTTACAACTTTTGCTGTACCAGTACTTAGTAGATTTCATCTAATTGAATCGAATGTTCGGCTTGAACAATCATTTGGATAAATTAGTGAGGCACCGACTAAGTCTGCCATTAAAAAGCGACATTAGTTTGGCGTGGCTTTTCAC